TTAGCAGTAAGGCTGGGCTGGGGCAGGGAGGGTCCAGGGAATCCTTGAGCTGTTGAGAGTCTCCCCCATCCCCTTCTCTATCATCTCTCCCATGGAAAGACTTGAGGCCTTTATGTGGGGTGGGTTGGGTCTTATGGGGTCTCATTCCTGTGCCTTTGCTGAGTCTGGGGGCTTCACCACAAAAACTAGAGCAGATACAGAGCTTCCCCCTGGGGAGGGGTTCTGCTGGCCCTGCATCTTCCTGATGCCCTCACACTGCACAGAGAGGGTGTCCTCAGTGCTGAGCCTCCCTCTCTGTCCTCAGCTCGCCGACGTGGAGAGCTCGCCCAGCAAGGAGGAGGATGAGGACGATGATGACACCATGCAGAACACAGTCGTCCTCTTCTCCAACACTGACAAGTTTGTGCTCATGCAGGTAACCAGGGCATGGCAGGATGGACAGATGGACAGGGTGGGACAGACTCTGTCTGTCCTCTACCAGCTGTGTCTCCTCACTCACAACCTCTACCCCCACTCAGGACATGTGCGTGGTGTGTGGCAGCTTCGGGCGTGGGGCCGAGGGGCACCTGCTCGCCTGCTCCCAGTGCTCCCAGTGCTACCACCCCTACTGTGTCAACAGCAAGGTGAGGAGGGGGCCCAGCACCCCCAGCCCCACCCCAGAACTGTGCTGTGCCCCCCAAGGACACACAAGGTCGTGCCTGGCACGTCTTGTGTGTTGAGCTGTGCTCTGGCCTGTCCGTGCCAAGCCCTGGGGTGTGGATGGGGGGGTAGCCTGGGGACCCCCATGGCCATGCCCAGGGCTCACGTGGGTGCCCTCCCGTGTCCCCAGATCACCAAGGTGATGCTGCTGAAGGGCTGGCGCTGCGTGGAGTGCATCGTGTGCGAGGTGTGCGGCAAAGCCTCGGACCCCTCGCGCCTGCTGCTCTGCGACGACTGCGACATCAGCTACCACACCTACTGCCTGGACCCCCCGCTGCAGACCGTGCCCAAGGGCGGCTGGAAGTGCAAGTGGTGCGTGGGGGACACACAGGGCTGAAATTTGGGCGCTAAATTTGGGGTGCTGACCCTTTGGGCGCCTCTCTGCAGGTGCGTGTGCTGTGTGCAGTGTGGGGCTGCATCTCCTGGCTTCCACTGCGAGTGGCAGAACAACTACACCCACTGTGCACCCTGTGCCAGCCTGGTTGTGTGCCCCTTCTGCCGTGAGAAATACGTGGAGGACGATCTGCTCATCCAGTGCCGGCACTGTGATCGGTGAGCACCGTGCCCTGGGCTCCAGGGGCTCGAATTTGGGGTCCTCCCAGAGAGGCTGTGGTGTGTTATGGTCCCCCATGCTCCCCACAGGTGGCTGCACGCCGCGTGTGACAGCCTCTTCACTGAGGAGGAGGTGGAGCAAGCTGCAGATGAAGGTTTTGACTGCAGTGCCTGCCAGCCCTACGTGGTCAAACCCGGTGAGTTCATGAGGTATTGGGGAACTCCGGGGGATCTGGGGGGCATTTGAGGGGTGTGGGGACTCACCTGCTCCTCTGCTTTCCTGCCACAGTGCCTGCTCCTTCTGCAGAGATGATCAAAGCCAAGGATCCAGGTACGTGCTGGGCTTCCCAGGGCTGTGCCATCCTCTGGCCACACACCCAGCGCTGCCATTTGTCCCCAACGCTGGCATTTGTCCCCTCAGAGCCCCAGTATTTCCGCTTCGAGGGCGTGTGGCTGACAGAGACGGGGATGGCCGTGCTGCGCAACCTGACCCTGTCACCCCTGCACAAGCGGCGGCAGCGCAAGGGCCGCCCGGGCACCCTCAACGGGGACGGGGGGCTGGAGGGGGGCGACCCCCTGGGCCCTGAGGACAAGAAGGACGGTGACCTGGACACCGATGAGCTGCTCAAAGCTGACGGTGGGTGTTCCTGCTGGCAGAGCTGGGGCATTGCAGCGTGAGTGCTCCTGCTGGGAGAGCCGGGGCGTTGCAGTGTTGGGGTGTCAGGGGGTCCCACTAATGTGCACCCCCCTGCAGTGGGTGTGGAGCACATGGAGTGTGAGATCAAGCTGGAGGCTCCGGCCAGCCCTGACCGCGACGTTGGAGCTGATGGGGACTCGGGGAAGGGGCTGGAGGACCCTGAGGAGTGCAAGAAGAGGAAGCGCAAACCGTACCGGCCTGGTGAGTGTCCTGCAGTGTCCTGCAGGCTCTGAACCCTTCTGGGCTCTTCTGTGACCCCACTGTGATCCCCACTGCTCCTCTGCCCCCCAGGCATCGGTGGGTTCATGGTGAGGCAGCGCAAATCCCACACGCGGCTCAAGAAGGTCTCAGCAGTGCTGCCAGACGTGGGGCGTGAGGGGCTGAGCACCGAGGGACACCCTGAGGATGGTAGGGCCCAATGATTCCTTTTTCCCCCCTATTTTTCCCTCTCTTTTTTTTTCCCTGCCCCTTTT